GCTGCCACAGCGCCTGGCACAAATTGTAATCAAGTGCATTTTCCCAAACTGTCCGGCCGCCTGTCACTGCCCCCGTGCCCACGGGGCCTGCCACTTCCTGTGCCCCAGCTGTCCCCAGCCATCGGGATGCTGGAAATAACGACCTTGGTTGAGTGTGTCAGGGCACCGAGGAAATCATCCCATGCCCCTCTGGGTTCTTCTAGGCTGGCAAACAAGTATCAGACCGATCGATAAGAGAACAAGCCAACCGAATTTAGTAATAGCGTATGTACTTCTGGTCTACCTGGGAGATTAGCAGCGAAACTGACACACCCAGTGCCTTACATGGCTGGGCTGAGACAGGACTCGGGAGGTGACCGGAAGGCCGGCGGTGGAGGTGACCAGGGCACCCAGGCGAAGGTGCGGCCCCCAGCCCCGCCTTCTGCGTTGAAACCAGGAGATTGGGTCTTCTAGGAACAGGCGCTTGCAAGTACCTTTTCGAAACCATGTTCCAGGCGGTCCTCAGAGCCCGGCCATGAGATCAGGCCTTCTTGCTGCAAAGATATCTTTGGCGGGGGCACTTTTTGCTCCCCGACAGCTGTCTTTGTGGGCTCCTGCGGAGAAACCGGGTAAGGCTGCGTGTTTGGTAGTAACCGGCAGCACAGACTGGCAGCAGTAGCGTTGGCTCAGTCTTCATCAGCAGACAGAGGGGTATTACTAGCCGCAGGTGCTCACGCCTGCCGGTCTGTGAGCCCTGTCACCTGTGGACACCTGTGACAAGGTGCTCTCCTGGGAGGGGCTCCCGGCAGCGTGTGACCCAGCCCTCGCCAGGAGGGGGGCACCATTCAGCAGGGACACGGAGAGCAGCTGCAGCTTTCCCAGACACACACAGCCCGTGGCAGAGCTTTGACCACAGCCTCTGTCACGCACTCTGCTGGCCCCACTCCCCGTGTCCCCGGGGAGCCAAACCACGTGTCAGCTGAGTTCTCATAAATCCCACAGGCGATGGCTTCGAGTGCTACTGGTTTTACACATGGTTTCCTTTGAAAAGTGCTTCCCTCCTGGAACAGAGCCCTGTGGAAATAGGAACGCGATTGTGTATATTTACAGTAAAATGGGAAAACGGCCACTTTGTGCTTTGTTGTCATTCCGGAGTAATTCAACTTGCTGTGACGTGCATCAATCAGACGTGAGCTAAGGGCGCTTTTTAAAGGTGGCGGGCAGTGAGCGCTCCCCGAGTTCTCTCTTGCAGGAAGGTTTTTGGGGGACTCAGGCCTCCGCTGCTGTAGTTTGTCTCTGATTGCACTGAGCCCTCGGGCGTGGTCAGCTGAGCCCCGGGTCCCATCCCTGCTGCGCACAGGGAGGGAGCCCGCTTGGCTCTCTGGGGGGCCCTTGCAGCCACTGCGGCTTTGTGGACGTTCCCAGCCAGGACAGGATGGAGTGTGCCTGGGTGGTTCACGTTCGCTTGGGTCTCAGAACTGGGGCCTCGTCCGCCCTTTCTGCCCCAGCAGCCTGCGCGTTCACCCCCTTCCCAGCCTCCCAGCCTCGGGAATCTTTCTGTGGAGTCATGTGGGGACTTTCACTGGGGGAGGCCTTTGTTTCTGCTGCAGTAAGACAGGCTGGGCCAGTTACAGCTCGCGGGCAACACAGTGTCACTCCTGTAACGACAGCCCAGGTCTCCCCTGGAGGGATCCAGGTTCATGTCTCTCCAGGGAGCCTCCTGCGGCCTCGGCAGCCCAGCGCCCGCCTGTGCCCGGCGCCAGGGAGCGTAGGGCCTGCAGTGGCCTCCGTCCTGCGGTCGCCAAGCCCAGCTAACCTGGTGGCTTGAAGCAGGTGAGAAGTCCAGAAAGGTCTCGCAGTCCGGCTGGATCCTTCTGGGATTTTGGGAGAAATGTGATTCGGCTTTTCCTGCCTGCGGAGACTGCTCACATTCCTTGGTCCTTCCCGCATCTCGGCGCCGTTCAAGCCAGCCACCTGCCCCGACGGCTGCTGGGACCATGTCCTCAGCCTGGAGATTCCCTCCCTGGGGTCAGGGCCCGCAGCCAACCTGCCCACGGCTGTCACTTGTGTCACTGCCCAGCACGGGTGCGCGGTCGCCTGAGAGGCCCGCGCAGGGAGAGGCCGTGGGTGTGATGCAGGGTGCCAGCATGTAGGGACGCCCTAAAGGGAGTGGCGAGTGCCAGTGGCTAGAAGGAGCAGCAGGGATGAGGTGTGATGCTCCCGAAGCTTCCTCACTAAGATGGGGTGCGGGGTGAGCCGAGCACATGGCAGGCACGCGGTGGGCAGGCTCCCCAAGGCGGCGCTCGCTCCCCCGCCGCCCTGCGTGAGCCCTGTCACCTGTGGACACCTGTGACAAGGTGCGCTCCTGGGGAGGGGCTCCCGGCAGCGTGTGACCCAGCCCTCGCCAGGAGGGGGGCACCATTCAGCAGGGACACGGAGAGCAGCTGCAGCTTTCCCAGACACACACAGCCGCACGGGGTCGCTCGGGGTCACGGCGTATCGGCACAGCCACGCGCACAGCCACGCACGCAGATGGGCACCGCCGTGGCCACGCACACGCCTAGAGATATGGACACACGTAGACACAGACGGGCACACGTCACCCAGAGCCACAGCACACGTGTGCAGAGCTGGGATTGGAGCCCGAGCTCCGGGCCGTGCTCTTCAGCCTCTGCGCACTCGGGCAAGAGGAAGCTTGTCCTTCCTTGAAGCGCTCCTGAAACACCCGTCGCTGCCACAGAAAGCCTGGGCCTTTACTTTTCATGTGTCATAAAAATACTGTACAGCAAATAATTCTGCAAAAATATGCCCTCGACCCTTGCAGAGTTCAGAGACAGTGGGGTGACAGGCGCCGAGCTTCTTATCACAAGGCCACCTGCCCCTGTCCCAGCGGGGTTGTCGCTCTGCCCCGACTGTCGCCGTGTCCACGGCCACGTGTAGGGTGAGGGGTGGTGACGGTCACTGTCTCCAAACAGCGGGCGCTCAGGTGGGCGACGAGGGCCGGTGGGCCCTGCTGAGGAGGGTGGACAGGCCGCCCCAACCACAGCCATCCCTCCCAGCGCCGCCTTCTCTTCGCTGTCGTTTCTGTGGCTGCTGGCGTGGCCTTCTGCTGCCTGCCAGGGACTGGGCCCGTCTGTGGTGACCGTTTCAAAGTCTCGTGTGTGCTGTGTTGAGCTGGGGGAGGGGTCATCTACAGTGGGTGTCTGCGTGAGTGTGCTCAGCTTGCTAGGACAACCGGAGCTTGCCCAACTGTGTCCAGGCCTGGAAGCCACAGTCCGGGGTGCTGGCCTCGCTGTGGCCTGCCTGTGGCCTGCCCCCAGGGCCTCCCCTGGCCAGTCCCTGGTGGCCCTCTGCAGGACGTGGTCACGCCAGGTTAGGGTCTGTCCTCACAAACTGGTTTTAGCTCAGCATCTACAGCCTCGTCTCTGCGTGGATCCCAGCGTGGGGGGTGGTTAGGACTCACACAGGAATCGGATCCCGTGGGGTAGGACCGTGGATGGAGGAGGAAAATGAACTTTAAGAAAGCATGGAATGGAACAGTCCCACTCCCTCCTTTAGCCCAACGCATTGGTAACTCCAATTGCACGTGTCCAGAGAACGGGGAAAGCGAACTCCCAAACTTGATTTTCAGCCTCAGTTTCTTAAGGTTTGCAAACCCTATAACCTGGGGAGTCTTGATAAACTGCCTGCAGACGTCTGGGGTTTTGCTTTGTTTCTTTTCAAGTCTAAGCCAAAGCAAAGGAAAGCCCTAGAAACCACACCCAGAGAAGAAAGTGAAATCTAGAACAGCGAGGGAGGCCTGGCCCTCCCCAGTCAGGAGCAGCCTCTTGTGTTCCACTTCCTGTTAGGGCCACCACCACCCTGTTTAACCCCAAGCCCCAGCCTGAAGCTGGGTGCTCCGGCCCCCAGGAGCGAGGGTGGGAGCGGGGGTGTGCCGAGATACGCAGGGGTGTCAGGGGGCCGCGGTGCAGCCCGGCGCGGGCCGGGAAGGCCCGGAGCGCCTGCCGGTTGTGACCACAGACTGGCACGGGCCACTCCTGTGCCCCGGGATCTGGTGCAAAGGGACGTCCAGGTCTGGGAGTGTGGACAGCAGCTCCCCGGAAAGATGCCGCCCCTGAGGGTCCCCACCGCCCTGAAGCAGACAAGTTCCGACCACCAGAACCCCAACAGGAGTCGGGGTCCGAGACCATCACCAGAGCGTCATCTGCGCACCGAGGTTGCCTAAAATGGAATAGGCAGGGGTTAAGGCCAGCAGGGGTGAGTCAGACCCTGTCCAGGACCAGATGAGTTTGCGGGGAAAAGAAAAAGCCCTAAAAACAAAACTAGAAATGAGTGAGGGAGAACATCAGATGGGATATTTTTTAAAAACTAATTTTTTATATCAAGGTGGACGGAGACCACGTCCCCAGGCTCCAGCACACGCGGGTCCCCAGCTCTGACTCGCCTGGGGCGGGGGGGGGTGCGTTTGCAGCAGCCGGCAGAGGCAGCGCACAGTGGGGAGCCGGGGTGGGGGGGAGCATCCCGCGGCCGCAGGAGTCAGGTCCAGACTCAGGCCTGCCCCCGCCAGCCGCCCACTGCGGCGCCCCTCTCTGGGGGACACCGCTCCCTTCCCGTGGCCGCGGCAGCCTCCCGGGAGCCGGGCAAAGCCCAGGAGTGTGAGCCTGAGGGTCTTTCACATCCTCCTTCTCCTTCAGCATCGTGAAGACACTCGTTCCAGCAGAACCCAACCTTATTTGAATTGTCAAAGGACTCTGTGCTGGGTGGTCGGCACTGGACAGCGACCAAGGCTTGGGTGCCCCTGGCCTCCCTCACCCCAGCCGCTGCGGTCACCATGGCTCGGTCTCCAGCAAGTGCTGGGCTGTGCCTTGACCCCTCCCCCACCCCGCCCAGCACCCTTCTGGCCTGCTGCTGTGTCCGCAGCAGGGGTGGGGGCTGGAGTGCAAGTTCGGGGCCCCTGCAGAGTCCACGTGTGCTGAGGGCGCGCCTCCTGGCTGCAGACCCCGTCTCCTCTGCGCCTGCAGGTGGTGGAGGTGAGGGAGCTCTCTGGGGCCTCTTCTAAGGGCACGGATCTTACTGCCAGGGCCCCACCCTCGTGACCTAGTCGCCCCCAAACTCCCGGCTCCGGATGCCGTCTTTGGGGGGCTGGATTTCAGCAGGCTGCCTCTGCTTCAGCTTCTGCATCTTCCACGCGGCCCTGGCCCTTCCCACAGATGAGGCCGGGGGCTCTCGGCCACAGCGAGCCTGCGGACCCCGGGCTCCTGACCTCTCTCGTGGTGCCTCGTGAGGCCGGCTTTGGGGGCGGCGTGCCGAACCCTTCCACGGAACACTCGCGTGGAATGGGTGGTGACCAACATAACTGCCCCAGCACATCTGAGGTCAAGCGCAGTCGCTCAGAGGCCGGCGGGCGCGTCCCGTGCTCACAGCCCGGGACAGTCGGCCCTGAGGAGACCCATTTCACTTTGCTCGTTCCCCACACCCCGTAGACCCTGCAATCCCAATTTGTTTGTTTATTTTGCTATAAAGATTAGCACGTTGGCCACTTCACAGCCTGCAGGGCAGTAACGCAGAGCCAGTCGGCGGTGGGCAGGCTCTGAGCCCGTGGAGGCCCAGCAGTGAGAGCGCACAGTGGTGCGTGCCGGGCGTGTCCTCGAGAGGGTAAGGCCGGCGCTGCTCTGGCAGGCCCAGTGCACGCAGGCGCTGCTGACGGCGTGGCCACAGCTGGAAGTGGGGTTGGCAGCGGGTGAGTAGGTCGAGGCCTCTTTTTTTTTTTTTAAGATTTATTTATGCACAAGAACTGGGTATAGACCAGAGGTGCAGGATGTGAGAGAGTTCCCCAGAGACAGAGTGGGGAGCAGGACAGGCAGGCTGACTGAAACACACCGCAGAGGGGAGCAGCGGGGAGACAGGAGGGGTCTGCCGCGCCCTGTGGCCCCCCGCTGGCCGGGGATGGGGCTGGTGCTGCAGAGGGTGAGCCAGCTGGGTAGCCTAACCCCTGCGCCACAGCGGGCTCGTGTCCAGCCATGAAGGAGGGACGCGCTGGCCCGAGCTCCCAGGTGGGAAGCCTCGAAAGCACGCCGAGTAGACGTCCAGAAGTCCCCCCAAAGGGTAGTTCATTTAAAACAGGTGTCAGGAGGCAGGAGAACTACAATTTCACATAAAGGCGTGTAGGGAGTGCCCCAGTTTCAAAACGGAGAAGGGCCGTGGGGAAGCTAGGTCCCATGGACGCAGCTGCGGCCGTTCCTGAGCAAACCCACAAGGGGCTGTCGCGCCAGCCTGGGGCAGCGGGGCGCCGGCCTGTCGCAGGCCGGCTGCAGAGCTCGCCTCACCTTCCGGCCGTGCGTCCCAGCTGCGCTCGCCCTTCCCAGTCGGTCCTTGAGCAGGGGCTGGCGGGACAGACTGCTGAACACAGATGAGCGCGGCGTGACGAGTATGATCCTGATGGAAACCTGAGTGTGAGGCTCCAGGAGAGGGGGTGGGGAGGGGGCAGCTGTCCCCCCGGGGACGGTCAGCGAGGAGCTGCCGCCCCACCGGGCATCAGGGAGCAAGCAGCGGGCCAGCGTGTGGCCTGGCGTGGCGCGGTGCAGCTCTGCGCTTCGGCTTCCTTTCCCATGCATGAGGACGATCGTTCTGTGACTCTGGGTCTGTGAACTGTCCAGAGAAGGCAAAGGCAGGTGAGGTGCTGGGGTGGGGGAAGAGGCGGCTAGGCGTGGCCACGGACAGGCGTGCGGTTCCGTGGCAGGAGGGCCCTGCAGGTGCGTGTGGAAGCCTCGAGCGAGTCGTGGGTCACAGGCCGCCCCACGGAGTGGGCTCCGCCTGGTGTGCAGGGCTTCACGGCACCCCGTTTGGGAAGGGCTTCCTCAAAGCTGGGCACCCTGGCGTGGGCGGGGTCGTCCCATCTCGGGCAGAGGTCCAGGGGACCGGGCACCTGCGACTAGCGCCTCCCCCACGCCGCCTCGTCTCCACGGGGCTGTGCCCGTGACGTGGCTCCTCATAGGAAATACTTAAGCGGAGCCAAAAGAAAAACCCAGCTGACGGCCTCGGGGCGTCTCTGGGTGGATCTGGGAGGAGGCAGCCTCGGGCCCCCTCACAGCCTGGCCACCCGCCGGCCCTGCCAGGTCAGCAGGACGAGCTCGTGCTCCTGGGGTGTCCCGCGGCCCCCGCACCCACGCTGCTCCTGTGCCCACGTGGTCACACCCCTCTGTTTCATTGCAGTGAAAGCCGGTGGGATGCGAATCGTGCAGAAGCACCCTCACTCCGGGGACGCCAAGGACGAGAAGGACAAGGATGAGCAGGAGTGGGAGAGCCCCAGGTGGGAGACCCGCCTCGCGCCTGCCCGCGGAGACCCAGCCGTCCTCTGCTGCCTGGCCCTGGAGGCCGGGGGAGGGCCCTGGGGCGTGCGTTTGCCCTGCCTGGGTCAGGGCACCGTGGCGGGAACATCGGCCTGCACCACCCCTGGCAGTGCCCTCAACTGCCACCGCGGAGCGGGCCCCAGGGCCCTGGCGCAAGGACAGACGCCTCTCGGGCCCGCCCCGCCGTGCCTCCCCGAGAGCCACACGTGTCCAGGTTTCCGAGTATTCTCGGATCTGGCATTCAGCTGGGAGTGTGTGGCTCCGTGTCCTTGCCCCTCTGGGGAACCCGCCCTGCCCCCCGTTCACCTGAGGAGGAACGAGCGTGCCGGAGGGAGCCTGGCCTAGAGGACGAAGCTGGGAGGCTGAAAGCTGCTCTCGGGGCCAGCACACGGCCGTCGGCCCAGCCCCTCCCGTGTGACGGTGTCAGCGCGGCGAGAGCGGCCATTTATTATCGGGTCTAGAAATTAGGCCAGAGCAGCCCGTTCCTCCCCTCCCTATTGATTTTCCTCACGAGGTAAAATACAGCGTTTATGGAAGATTCGGTCTTTAAATAAACATGTCGAGGATGAGTGATGGCAAGAGAGCCGGGCCCGAGGTGTCGACGCACCCAGAGGGGCGTCCTTTCTGGCCAGGTTGTTGGTTCACTGTCGTACCTTTGCATCGCGTGAGTGTCAGGGGTTTGAGATTCAACACATGTATGTGCGCCATGAAGGTCCCCCGAGCAGTCTGGGGCCACCCCTCATCACCCCATCCCCTTTCTCCCTTAACCCCCGCCCCTTCCGGTAGCCATTAATTGGTCTGATGGTCCAAAGGTCCAGTTTTGTCTTATTTAGTCCACCTGTGCATTTTCTCTGTGCCGCACCAGTGACGTCAGCGGTGTTTGGCTTTCTCCATCTGGCTGTTTCACGAGGAGTCCCTCCGCCCCAGCCATGTTGTTGAGATGGTGGGTCTCATTTTTTACAACTGAGTAGTATTCCATCGAGTCTATAGACTTCATCTTCTTATTCATTCTTCAATCAATGGGCACTTAAGTGGCTTCTAGTTCTTCTGGGGGGGTAGCAGAACTGGGGTGCAGCCAGAGGGGTGGAGGGTGAGACTTCATCAGAGACACCATGGGGAGCAGAACAGCTGGACTGAGTGAAATACACTGCTGAGGGGAGCAGTGGGGAGACAGGAGAGGTCTGTGGTCACTCCTTGGCCTGGGATAGAACTAGGCTGGGGGGTGACAGCCTGAGACTTAACCGCTAGGCCACTGGGGGGCCCAGTTCCAGTTCTCGGCTGTTGTAAGTAGCACCCCAATAAACCTGGTGGTACCTGTACCTCCTTGAGTTAGTGTCTGTGCATTTTTGGAACTGGGCGTCTGGAGGCAGGCTGCTGCGGGGTACAGTTCCCAGGACACGGGGCAGGGCCGGCGGCCTGCGGCCAGCTTGCTGTGACAAGCCCTGCGAGCGCATGTTGGCTCCTGCCCGCTTCAGCTTGGCTCTCTCGCCTGGGTTAAGTGGAGCACCTGTGGGGAGTGGCCCTGTGTGGACACGGGTGTTGGCAAAGCCGCCAGCACAGCTCCCGAAGCCTTGCTCCAGGGCGGCATCCGTGCGCTCCCGGCCCTTCTGCCAACTGGCTGGAGAGTCACAGCTAGCAGCGTCTCGGACGGGCAGTGCAGCGGCTGCGCCCGCTCCGAGTGCACCGCCCGGTAGCTCACTTATTCCTCACAGCGCTTCTGTGGATTCGCACCCTGGTGTCCGAATCAGTTATGGGTTATCATCTTCATTCTCCATGGTGACGCCTGCTTCGAGGCACAGAGAGGTTAAGTGACTTTCCCGAGGCCACACAGCAAGGAGCGACAGCCAACATTCCAGCCCGGGCCACTAAGCCCGGAGCCCTCACGCCTAGCCACGAGGCCGTGCTTACTGGTTGTGCCGGATGGAGGCCGAGTCCTTCCCCACGGAGCCAGTGCCCCACCCTCTCTGAGGCTGCCTTCCCATCCATCAGGAAATCAAACAGTAATTACAGAGAACATGAGCAAGCGGAGCCCTGAAGAGGTTATTATGTGACCAAACACCAAACCGAAAAACACAACTTGTTTTCATGATTACTTTTTGGGCAAATATTTATGCTGCTTACTCCCTTTAATCGTATAATTTTCCAGAGCTTTACAAATAGTTTCCCGAGCTGCCGGTTTGTTTTGAGAGGCTACATTTAAGGGGGAGGGGTGCCAGAGACTTGACACGTTGCCCACCAAGCCCAGCCTGTGACCTGCGCCCGTCACAGCCACAAAGGAACAGGCGTGGTCAGGGCGCCTGCTTCCTGGGGGCGCTCCCGGCCAGTCTCAGCGCGGCCGTGGGGGGCCTGGGGGGCTTCCCTCGGCTCTCTGTGGAAGTACCGAGACGAAGTGCTGTGTCCTAAGGAAAAGGGGGGTGCCCACATCGAGCGGACTTCAGGAGTCCGCAGGGTTCACCCCGTTAGACAGTTAAATGTCCTACCGCCTAGACCCACCCGGGCCTGCTGTGGGGGATGTTACAAAGGACAAGTGCAGAAAGAATGAACTAGAAGGCGCAGGGCTTGGCTGTGGGCTGGGTGCGGAGGGTGAGGGGGGCAGGCTCCTAAGGCCGGGGGAGGTCCTTCTCTGCACTGGCTCTCCCGGCCCTGGCAGGCCCTGGCTGTTTCACTGCCTGAAAATCAAAGCAAGTGATTCAATCAGCCGGGTGTGGGGAGACAAGATGGAGGGAGACCGGCGTCTGCACGTGAGGGGCGGAAAGCATCCCCCGTGCCGGCCGGGAAACGGGGCTGAGCAGCGCCGCCGCAGCGTCAGGCTCCCCGGTGCTGGGGTAGCCCGCAAGGGCCATACTGTGGACGAGAGCCCATGTCCCAGTCG